GATTTTTTTAAATTCATTTTTCAAGGTGTGTATTTTTTAAAATTAATTTTTCAAGGCCTGGATTTTTTAAAATTCATTTTTCAAGGCGTGGATTTTTTAAAATTAATTTTTTAAGGCGTGGATTTTTTAAAACTCATTTTTCAAGGCCTGGATTTTTTAAAATTAATTTTTCAAGGCCTGGATTTTTTAAAAATCATTTTTCAAGGCGTGGATTTTTTAAAATTAATTTTTTTAGGCGTGGATTTTTTAAAACTCATTTTTCAAGGCCTGGATTTTTTAAAATTAATTTTTCAAGGCCTGGATTTTTTAAAAATCATTTTTTAAGGTTTTCGATTTTTATATCCCTAAAAATTTTCCCAATTTATTTTTTCTTTCCCTGCAGGCTCATGAAATCCGGTATTAATCCCTTCGATTCCCAAGAAGCCAAACCCTATAAAAATGATCCGGAAATTTTGGCCATGACCAACTTAGTGGTATCCTATCAAAATAATGACATTAATGAATTTGAATCGATATTACGCACTAATCGTAGCAATATTATGGCTGATCCTTTCATACGAGAACACATTGAAGATCTGCTAAGGAATATACGCACACAGGTTCTAATTAAATTAATACGACCATATAAAAATATAGCCATACCATTTATTGCCAATGCACTGAATATTGAACCGGCCGAAGTTGAGAGTCTATTGGTGTCGTGCATACTAGACAAGTAAGTTCGTGAAATTTTCTTTTTTAAATTTATTTTTTTAATGTTATGTTTTTTATTTCAGTACCATCCAGGGACGCATTGATCAAGTAAATCAAGTTTTACAATTGGATAAGGAAAACAGTACAGGATCTCGTTATAATGCCATCGACAAATGGTCCAACCAAATTCAATCTCTACAAATGGCAGTCATCAATAAAATGGCCTGAGACAGGCCTTCAATTGCTATGCATTGTTTACCAACATTAAACTTTTAGAAAAAAAAATTATGAAAACCAACAACATCCACGAGAAAATGAAACAAAGAAAACACAACAATAAACATGAAATGTCATATTTGAAAAAACCAAACTTTATTTTTTTGGAATATAGCCTCTTCTAGGCGTTAATTATTGTTACTTTCGAGTTAATACATTTGCTATAAATCCAACGCCGTAATTTATATAAACAAAATAATAGAAAACTAAAGATTATAACTAAGAGAATACATCCGAAAGTAATTGCTGTGGCCCATCCAGGGCTACTCCAATCCAGGATTTCATAGATATAAGGATTTCCGCTTCTGTAAAAAATACAAAGGAAGGAGGAAAGATAAGAAAATATTTTAATTATTTTATATTGAAATAATATAATTTTAAATCTATTTTAAGGAGAGGTGTGAGGACCCATCCAAACATTACAAAACAGACAGGAGGGCATACAAAAATACATAGGAAGGGAAAAAGATAAGAAAAGATTTGAATAACTATTTTTTATTTAAAAATATTAGAATTTTAAATTTTTTTAAGGAGAGTTATGAGGACCCATACCGCCATTAGAAAATAGACATGAAGACTACTTATGAAATTAATTTTTAATCACTATATCGAATTGCCAATGAAGTCTTCAAAATCCCCAAATTACATTGGTATATTAAATCAAATTAAATATGATTCAAAACATATATAGATTTTCTTACAAATTTTCAATTTTTTTATCAGAAAAAATATTGAAGTTGTATTTCATGTTTTTACTTACGGATCCACGCCTCCCGCGAAGTAATAAATCAATGAAAATATGGCATAAATTAAACCCAATATCAGAGGATATACAAAATGCATTAGGCGGGTGGGGAATGCAACCAGCATGTGATCCAAGACCATCAATATTGAATTAAAACCATGGGCCCATAAATTATACAAATCCGAGGCATTGGCATTGTCCGCTGTGGAAAAAAACAATATTAGGTGAAATTTTTCAATCTAGTTCAGAATACTTACTGGGATAAATAAACAACCAATACATAAATGTGATTACCGTTGCCACAACCAAAACACACCAATGGGAACACCAATAAAATTTCAAAACCTTAGTTCGATTATCTGGGAAAAATATACAAAAATAAAAAAAATTATTTCCTTCCAAAAAACCCCAAATTGAAGAAATTCAACTCACCAAAATACCTGGGATGAAAATGATATATGGTCACCAATATAGCACTGAACCAACTGATATACATACACAGCAAAAAACCCCAATCGGTCAGATAAATAAACCATTTACCATCGGCCCATTGCTGTATTAAACTACCCAATACACCAACACTAAAACACAACGCTAGACCCCACCTGTATAACAGCCATAAATAGGATTTTTGGGAGGTTTGCCACTATAAGAAATTTTTAATAATTAATAATATTAATATTTTTTCTATTTTATTAGAGTTTTTATGTTTACCTGGGACTTGAGAAAATCATCTGCCGGCTTATGATTTAAACTGAATTTCTCTTTTTGAAACTCCTTGGCTATTGGATGAAATATGCGACGACACAAACAAGATTTATTGTCGGTCATCTGGAATTGGAATATTTTCAAAAGGAGGGTTATAAAAATAATCAATACCACCATAATAAACATGGGGATCCAAAGTGCAAAATATCAAGAAAAATTGAAAATTTTTTTATGAATTATTTATGTAAATTATGAAAAACCTCCACTCTTCACAACGATTTTGGAAATCTACAATAGGTATACTTTAGAAAGAATACCCTTAAGGGTCTATATAAGTTATTTGGGGGTCACTTTTGTAAATAGAAGGCATTTGGTAAATTATAAAGGACCCCGTCAAAACATCAAAACGATTTTGGAAATCTTCAATAAGTATACTGTAGAAATAATACCTTAAGGTCTTTGAGGGATCTTCTGTATAAAGAAGTCATTTGAGGAATCTTCTATAGATAGAGGGCTACTGGGAGATGTTCTTTTTAAAGAAGAACTTTGAGATGCCTTCTGAAGATAAAGGTCCATAGAATACCTATGTGAGATCTTCTATAAATGGAAGACCTTTGAGAGATCTTCAATAGGTAGAAGGCTATCGAGAGATCTAACATTGAGATATTTTCAGCAGATAAAGGTTCTCTGTCTATAGAATATCTATTAGAGATATTTTCATTCTCGAGATCGTCTGTAGATAGAAACCATTTGAAGGACAGACGCCTTCAAGAGGTCTTCAATGGTTAGAAAATCGTCAATAGGTCTTCTATAGTTATGGATTGATTGGAGATTTTTTTATGAATTAATAGAAGACCTTTGAGAGGTCTTCAATAGGTAGATCTAACATTAAGATGTCTTCACTAAAGTCCCTCTGTCTATAGAATATCTATTAGAGATCGTTTTTTTTGTAAATATATGGCCTTTGAGAGGTATTCAGTGGACAAAAGACATTTTGGAGATCATCTGAAGATAGAAACCATTTGATGGATAGGTACACTTTCATAAGGTCTTCAATGGATAGAAAACCTTCAATAGATTTTCCATAGTTACGGATTGAGGTATGTAGAAGGTCTTCGAGGAATCTCCTGTACATAGATGACATTTTAGGGGTCTTCAATATGCAGAAGGTTACTGGGAGATCTTTTGTGTAAAGGATAATTATGAGATGCCTTCTGAAAAATAAAGATCCAAAGAATACCTATAAGAGATCTTCTGTAGAGAGGGGGGTCTTTAATAGAAAGAATGCTATTGCGAGATCTACTGTGTAAGAATAATTTTAAGTTGTATTCAGTAAATAGAGGTCCATCTGTCTATAGAATAATTATTAGAAATATTTTGTAGATAGAAGGCCTTTGAGAGCTGTTCTATGGACAAAAGTAATTTGAGGGGTCCTCTAGGGATAGAAAATCTTCAAGAGATCTGCTACAGACGAGCTGAGGGGCCAGTGAGTCTATCACAGACGAGCTGAAGGGCCAGTGAGTCTATCACGGACGAGCTGAGGGGCAAGTGAGTCTATCACAGACGAACTGAGGGGCAAGTGAGTCTATCACAGATAGGCTGAAAGACCAGTGAGTCTATCGCAGACGAACTGAGGGGCAGTAAGGTCAATGAGATATATTCTATGTTTAGCAAATTTTCAAAAGGTCTTCTATAGATATAGATTGATTGGAGAACTTCATGAGACCTCAATTAAGATCTTGGGCTATTAAAAATGAAGGAAGAATTTCGGGAATTTTTTCTAGCCTTCAAGAAAAATTATAGCCCAATCGTCTGTAAAAAAATAGAGGGCACTTGTCAATTCGTCCATGAATAGAAGTCATTTGGTAGATCATCTGTGTATAGAAGGTCTTTGAGAGATCTTCTATGGATAACAAATTTTCAAGAGGTCTTATATAGTTATGGATTGAATGGAGATTTTTAAGAGACCTCCATAAATTGTAGATTTAGTCAGGTCCGTCTGCCCGGCAGTATGTAGAATTCACGTTAGAGATCGAAATATTTAAGATAGAGCTTTAAAATTTTGCACATACGTTTCTAATACTACTAAGATATTTGGTATTACAAGATGGATCTATCGGTCCACATTTTGGTATGGCCCACCCCCAAATATTCGCTATTTTAAGGATTTTGAACAATTATTTTCAACTGAGATCGGTGAAATTTAGTATTTTGGGTTCTAGTTGAGTAGAAAATCTGCCAACCAAAAATTATCAATATTGGCTAAAGTTTCAGGGTAGACCCCCATATAACGGTACCGCCCAATTTTCGGTATTTTGGGGAATTTGGACAAGTTTTTTTCACCGAATTTATTGTAATTTGGTATTTTGTGCAAATTTTCCTATCAAAAATTTATATTTGCCCAATTTTTAGGGTAGCACCCTTAAAACGGTACCTCCGAATTTGAAGAGTTTTATACCATTTTTAATGAAATTGGTTGTAATTCGGTATTTTGGGTTCTCATTGGGTAGCAAACTTTCTTACCAAAAATTATAAATATTGGTCCTAGTTTCGTCATAGCCCCCCATATAACAGTACCAACCAAATTTCGATATTATGGGGTTTTTGTGCATATTTTAAAGACGAATTGGTTGCAATTTGGTATTTTAGGTTCTCATTGTCTAGGAAATCTTCCTACCAAAAATTATGAATATTGGTCCAGTTTTTATGGTAGTTCCCACATAACAATACCTTTCGAATTTCGGTATTTTGAAAATTTTGTGTATGTGATTCTACCTAATTACTTGTAATTTGGTATTCTAGGTTCCCGTGGGGTAGGATATCTTCCTACCAAAAATTATTAATATTGGTCAATTTTTTAGGGTAGCCCCCATATAACGGTACGTGAAAATTTTCGATATGTTGGGGAGATTTCGGTACGTTTTCAACCAAATTGGCTGTAATTTGGTATTTTTGGTTCTAAGGTTGAGTAGCAAACCTACATACCAAAAATGATAAAAATTAGTCCACTTTTGATGGTATCCCCCATATAACGATACCTTCCGAATTTCGGTATTTTGAAAATTTTGAATATATGTTTTAACCGAATTATTTGTAATTTGGTATTTAAGGTTCTCATGGCGTAGGAAATCTTCATACCAAAAATTATCGATATTGGTCACCTTTTTAGGGTACGCCCCACATATCGGTACCTCCCAAATTTCAGTATTTGCGGAGCTTGAGCACGTTTTTTTCAACCGAATGGGCTGTAATTTAGTATTTTGAATCATCATTGACTGAGAAATCTTTCTTCCAAAAATTATCAATATTGGACCCCTTTATAGGGAAGCCCCATATAGAGGTACCTCACAAATTTTTGTATTTTGATTTTTTTTTTACTTTGGGTCTTTCCTTTGATTTTCTATGCTTTGGATCCACAATATATAAAAGATCCGAACGATTACAGGCATTTTTAATGTCGAACTCATGGTGGACGGAACTTCGTAACGTTTTTTATTTATTAAAAATATGATTTCCTTTGATTTTTTCACTTTGGGTCCATATTTTGTAATCGGATTTAGGTTTTCATTTTTTTTTATATTATTTATTTATACTTTTATCTCTTCCTCTCAATATTTAGCTACCCTTAAAACGGCCCACACTGCACCCCAGAATATGCCACAATTGACTCTTAGCCTATTGCCAGTTAACTGATAGAAAATCCGACCGGCCAAGACATCCATAATAGGTATTTTTTTCTTTCAGCTCAGTTCCAGTCAATCAAATAGAGTTCTTATCTTCTTGTTTTGGCGGAGAAGTGACTCTCTCTTGCAAATTTTTATTATCGATGTTGTTATTGTAAATATTTAAAAAAAAATGTTGTACTGTTAAATGTCTATGGCCCGATAAATTGATTGTTATCAGTGGTTAAAAACAGTTATTCCGCACAAAAAAAGATTATGATTATTGCCGCAACTATTGGACGGTTGCTTTACTGGATTTATTTTCGATTTTTTTTTGGATTTTCCTTTCATTCATACAAGCTAAAGATTACCTTTCACTTTTCATTGGCGGTTTAATGGTGTAGGAAGAAGGGTGGGAGGATGAATTTTTGAGGTGAGAGTGGGAAGATGTGATATCAATGTAATCAATATATTAATATTGTCACCCTCGCAACCATGCCCTGCCAAGCCATTTAACAATAATTTCCGTTTATTTACAACTTTTAAGAAGACAATCTGTTCGAGTTCCCATAATTGAAGAACAAAAAAAAAAAAAAAAGAAACGAAACGAAAAAAACTTAATTGAATATTTAAAACAGGATATGTGTTTGAATATGCGTTTGGGTTTTTAGTACAGTTTGAACTAATAATTTAAAGTTGGCGTTTTTATTGTTGTTGTTGTTTTTTGAACTTTTCTAACCTTTTGTGTTTCACTGGGACCTTGAACTGTCATATAATGATATATACTTATCCTATCCTATGTTGTATTGTGAGTGGATCTTTTTTAAGGAAAGTGTAATGTTTGTTTGTGGAGGCCAGCCGGGGAAAATAATGGGGGTATGGGATCACATTTTGACAGTTTAATTTTATGTTAGTTAGAAAAATTTTTATTTTATAAAAAATTATAGGTTTGATAGGCTCAGGCTCATACTAAGGACAGTTTATGAGGACATTAAAAATGTAAGAAAAAAATATCCTTGAATATAGAAAACATTTATTGGAATCAAGGATTTTTATACCCTACCCGACTATGTTCTCAGGGTATTACAGCTTTGTCCAGCCCCAAGAGTTTGTAACGCCCCGAAATATTGGTCCTAGACCCACCTCTTAGTCATATCTCGACTAGCTGAGTCTATCTAGACATGCGTGTCCATCAGTCCATTTTTATTTGTAAACACGATACAGGCCACAGATATGGACCAATTCACGAAATTTTGCATGAAGGACCAATTGTGTCCAAAGAAGAACCCTAATAATTTTGGTAATGATCCGTTAATATTTAGGGTATAAAATGAGACAAAAACTTTATTTTTGTCTGTTTTTCTAGTCGCTCTATAGGCCACAATTATGACCCGAACTTTACGAACTTTTACGGGGAGAAGGAGATCTGGCCACAGAATCAACACGACTGTTTAGGTAAAT